TTGGTCTATGAGTGACCACAAGCACTCTTTTCTGTTTTGGAAATGTGAGGAGGATTCTCTCTCCACAGCCACTACAAGCTCCACCATGCCAGCGCTCCTCTTCACCCCAGGACTGCCACCCAGAACTGTGACCCAGATGCAAGCCCAGGCAAAGCAAGAGAATCCTTCCTCAGCACCAGGAAAGAGATCTCTGCAATCTCCCTCTGATTACTCACTCAACTTCCCCCTCAGTCTGTGGGCTGAGCCCCGGAGGCAGTTGCCACCTCGGGTCTGCTCTGGGACTGGTGCTGGAACGGTGTTTCTCTCTCACAGAGGTCACAGACTTTTCCTACAGAACTTCTAAGCTGTCTTTGGCGTTTGTGGATTGAGAAGTCTGGAAACTGCCACAGCTGCCCATGATTCAGTCCTCTGAGGCCTGCTACAGGTTCCCTGAAGTCTGATTTTTGCCTGTGCTCCTACATAGATCTGTGCTCCTCTCCCAGCCTGGTGCAACAGACCTTTCCAATCAACCATCCAGGTTGTTTTGGGCTGGAAATTTGTTTCACTCTGTCTTTTTGTGGGTTCTGCGGCTCTAGAATTTGCTTAGAGTCATTTTTTTACAGGTATTTGGAAGGGTTTGGGGAGAGCTCAAGCAAGTCACTGCTTTTCCTCTGTCATCTTGGCTCCGCCCCCCCATGCTTATTTTGCCATGACTAATTTCAAACATAAGTAAAATAATAAGCATATATTAAATATATTTAAAATATTTCCACTATCTTTATATGAAATAACCACACTGATCTTTTTTTTACCAATAAAATGAAAGAAAAACAAATGATGCTTAGAAACATAAAAAAGAATTATTCCTAGTATTCTCTTTTTAGTGGACTAGGCATTAAAAACAAAGAAAGTATGTTCGCAATACCTGGATCAAACATAGTTAAAGGTGTGTTGTAGAGAACTCACATAACAAATAAAATCCTGTTGTGTATTCTTTAGCATATTGACTTTAATAGCTTTGCAAACTAGTAAATTAAACAGTATCTACTTGTATCCAATTCTCTTCTAGGTTTAATCTGATCAATACTAACATATATGTTTAAGCTTGGTTCATACAATTAACAAATTTTCATTTTTAACAGTCTAGTTAACAGTCATTTGCTTAGATCTATAAAGTATTTGATAAAGTAATACTCTGACATCAATCATATAAAACAAGGTCTAAGGCAATTCTCATTTTCAAAATGGCATTTCTAATTTATTTTCTATTGTTTATAGTTTTCCAGGATAAGAGAACATAATAAGAGAAGCAAGCAGTTGGGTGAAACAAATTTTTCTGATGTTTATTTCTATTGTTCTAGGAGGTAGGATTGGATTTGATTTGATTTTTTTAATTTTTATTTTCAGTCTCAAATTCCCTCCCTCTTTTTCTCTCCTCCCTCACCTACTGAGAAAGCCAGCAATACGATATCTCACGTGAAGTCACACAATACTATTATTTCCAAAAAATTAATATTTCCATAGTAGCTATGCTGTGAAAAAAAAAGGCATAAAAAATAAAGAAAATAAAAAAAAAACATAACCTTCTGTTTATCTAAGTTTTTCACTCAGAAGTTCTGAGACAGGTATAAGACTAGAAAGGTGTAAGTGTCATAAAGCTTCTACAGTGAGCACATGTGATTCCATTCCAATAATAAAAATTGAACTATACAGTACATTAAGATTTTTAAAGTGCTTGCTCATACATTTTTTAAAACCACTGAATGAAATCATAAAAGTATTAGGAATTTAAGTGTGGCTGTGTAGGAGTAAAATAGCTATTTTGGAAAAGTGAAAGGCTGGGGCTACCCTTATTCCTTATGAACTTTTGTTGTTTTTAAATTAAATTTAATTCCTTGTATATGGGTTTTAAAAATGTGGAGAGGGGGTGTCCAATCTGTGATTTCATAAGCACAGGGTAGAAGGAATTTCTGGTATATAAATTTCTTTCACCGATGTAGATTAACAACTCATATACAACTCAGAATCTTGGAATTTCCTGCAACCATGAGGGATTGGCTAAACTACTCACCAATGATTACCAAGCCAACATATGTTAGAGGTAGGACTTGGACCAAGACCTTTCTGACTTTGTGTATATGCTATACTGTCACTCTACTTATGGAAAAAGTGTGGTTTTACACTTTTAATAGCAAATGGACAGCATTACTCTCTTATGGGTTGAAATGATTTCTGTTGAGAGCTAGACTAAGAACTTAAACCACATATATTTGGAGAAATCATTCTAAGTTCCAAGCAACCAACTCATAAATTAGCTTTTGGAACATAACTTATTCATACATTTGGTAATGCAGTCTTATATCTAATAGAGACAGCATAGTATGACGAATAGAGTGGATTTGAATTAAGAAGACCTGGATTACAATGTTAGCTCTGCTACTATTAGCTAAATGACTCTAGATAATTCACTGCCCCTTTCTTTTTCATTGTGACTTACATTCAAATATTGCTTATCACAGGATCACATATTTAGAGATAGAAAGGACCTTCAAGGTCATCCAGTCTAATCCTTCTAATTTTATAGTTGAAGAAACTGAGCCTTAGAGAGGTTAAATGACTTATCTAGGGTCACAGAGGTAAATAAGTGGCAGAGCTTGGATTAAACCCAGATCCTTTGACTCTAAATTCCGCACTTTTCCCATGGCACTTCTCATACCTATCTGTGTAAATCTGAGTAGGTCATTAACCCATTCAGTTTTGTCATCTATGAAATTAGTAGGTTGCACTAGATCCCTAATGTTCTTTCCAACTCCAACTCTATGATCTTACTTAACCTCTCTATGTCTTGGGCAGCTCTCTAAGACTATAAGTTCAGTTGCTGATATGAAGAAAATTGCCTTCACTGATAAAAATCACAGGATTGAACCAAAAACTAAACTAAAACTGAAGCACACAAAACAACCTCATGGTTCTGAGTTCAAGACCCAAGATCTGAATACCACACTGACAGTAGATTATTTAACTTGAAAAGGCCATAAGCCAAGACTAAAGTAGACTGGCTACAATGCTGATGGGCTTCTCTGAGCCAACAAATTTTATGAATATTATAATATATATTATATTAATATGAATTATATAATATATAATATTATTATCCTTTAATTTAATTACCTTTATAAATAAATAAATTTAATTACCTTTAATAAGGTACCAGACACTGAAGTCCTTTCTCAGCTTAACTGTCAACTATTCAAACTCTACTGCAGAGAGTGCGATTCCAATGGGGTGGCCATGTTGTTCTAATGCCCAATGTACATTTGCCTAAAAGACTATTTTACAGAGCTCACACAAGGCAAGCACTCACATGGAGGTCAGAAGAAGTGACACAAGGACACTCTCAGGGTCTCTCTGAAGAACTCTAGAATTTATTGTGAGACATGGCAGATACAGGAGACACTGACATAGGATCACCCAGCATGGCGTGCCTGCGTCAAAGAAGATGCTATGCTCTGTAAGCAAAGTAGAATTCCAGTAGTTCAAAAGAAACATGAGGGGCAGTTAGGTAGTGCAGTGGATAAAGCACAGGCCTTGAAGTCAAGAGGATCTGAGTTCAAATCTGGCCTCACACCAAACACTTGACACTTACTAGCTGTGTGACCTTGGCAAGTCACTTAACCCCAATTGCCTAAAAAAAAAAAAATGAGATGCTCAAATTTAGAGATAACTCCTCTCCAAATATTCATATATCAACTATTATTTTTTTCTGTTTTGGCCTATTTCCAAAAGAATTATTTAGCTGATGGTTTGTATATCTCACTAGAGGTGACAGCATATGAAAACAGAGTTTGTTAAGCTTGAAAAAAAAAGATTCTTCTTCTTGAGACAGAATGGTATTGTGGAAAGAAGACTGACTATAGCATCACAGAATCTTAATCGGAATCTCAATTTTGCTGCTTATTACTTTTATGACCTTTACAAGTTACTTAAACTCTGTGGACCTAAGTTTCCTGATAGGGGATGAGATTAAATGATTTTTAAAGTCTAAATTCTATGATTATTCTATGATTAGACTTACAAATTAAGGAAACCATCACAATGAACACTAATTATTCATCTTGATAAATTATAGCAAAATCCCAATTACTTGGAATACTCAGTTCAAGTGGCACCTCTTATAAAAACCTATCCAAATACCATAGATGGTGGTGCTCTCTTCTCCAGGAAATTACTCTGCATGAACTTTGTATATATTTTGTATTGATTTATCTGTGTACATGATGTAGAATGTAAGCTTCAGGAATGCCAGATTGGTTTCATTTTTGTCTCTCTCTTCTGCCTAGTATGGTACCTGCCATATAGTAAGCAATTAAAAAGTGCTTGTTGAACTAAATTGCATGAATGATTAGAGAATGGATTATTCTGGTTAGTGAACTTTCTGGGTCACTGAGGGTCAAATAGAAAAAACATTTTTAGTTCATTCCTTGTTAATGACAATCTTAGTATGTCCCAAAAGTGGTCTAAAACATGGTAGAACAAAAATATATTAAAAAAAAACTTTAATTAATAATTAAAGATTCTATAGCATGTTTCTGAGTAATAATTCTAATTCATACTGAAGAACACTAAAGAGACAGAAGGTATAAGAAATAGGACTAAATGTATAATGACCCTCAGAGAACACAGCCTGAAAACTTTTTTTAAACTAAATTCCTGATAGATTTTTCTTGTTATTTGAATCTTTGTCCTAAAAATGGAAATCTTAAAAGAAAAGGAAAATCCCAGTTAATTAAGTGTTTGATTTAATGAGTTTTTCTATGTCAAAATAAATAAACAAAAAAAGATTACCTGACAGAGGTACATGCTTTCATTTTTATATACTGATCTAATGTTTGTTAATGAACTTAATTTTTGTCCCATTGTTAAAAGTTAACTATTTTATTATTTTCAGAGTGTTTTCTCCTGACTCCAGGGCTGGTGCTCTATCCACTGTGCCACCTAGCTGCCTCAGAGTGTTTTCTTACCTGATTTTTCTGAAGGTTAGCTTCTTCTAAGAGTTGCATGCTGTTCCTGGCCCTTACAATTGCTTCATACTTCTCATTTTCTAAGTCAGCAAATTTTACTTGAAGCTCTTTTGTCTGTTTTTCCAGATTAGTTTTTTCTGTTCTTAGTTGGTCAGCTTCTTGGATTGTTACACATAACCTAAGAATTAATATTCAAATTTTATTAACAACTATAAACTGTAATTATTCCATTACTTTTAGCTAATGAAGAATGTTTAGAATAATATCTTATTAGAAATTTACTAGTGAAATGGTATGGATTAAGACCTTACATATCTAGAACTCTTGAGAAATGAGTTGTGGATCAGTGGGGTAAGATAAGTTGTAGAAGAGGTAACGGAGGTTAATTCTTTGTGAACTAGAATACTTTTACCCATTTTTATGGAAATCTTTATAAGATGCAGTAGAGATTCCCTTACCTTCTTTAACAGAGTATACTGTACATATTTAAAACATTTCTTGATCTCTCAAGTCTTAACTTTGTTCTGTATACTCTAAGTTCATCATTGTGAACCATCAGCATGTGTGGATGCTGCAATATTATCAATATCACCATGAACAACCTCTCATGTCCTTTTAAACTATTCTATTTGGCAAACCTTCAATGTAGCAAACTGATGCTTTCAAGTGCCACTGAGTACTTTGCCCTCTTCCCCTTTCAACAGCCACGCATAGCTTGGTGGCACAATAGATAGAGCGCAAGGCCAGGCACTAAGTTCAAATCCTGTCTCAGACATTTATTAGCTATGTGACTTTGGGCAAGTCACTTAACCCTGTTTGCCTCAGTTTCCTCATCTGTAAAATGAGAAGGAAATGGCAAACTACTCTAATATCTTTACCAAGAAAACTCCAAATGGGGTCACAGAGAGTTGAACATAACTGAAACAACTCAACAACAAAAACCATATAACACTTTTACAGAAATAATGTGAGATTTAAATAATTGGAAAAACATTAATTGCTCATGACTAGGCTGAGTCAATATAACAAAAATGACAGTATTACCTAAATTAATTTACTATTCAACTACATATCAATCAAACTTCCAAAGGATTACTTTATAGAGATAGAAAAAAAACAAATAAAATTCATTTTGAGGAGCAATCTCAAGGGAAAGAATGAACAAAAGTGGGAAGGAAACTAGCACACCAGACTTTAAACTATTCTACCAAGCAATAATAACTTAAAAAAATCTGATATTAGTTTTCAAAAAAAAGAGTTTGATCTGTGGAACAGGCTAAGTATGTAAAATGTAAAAGTAAACGAACCAAGTTGCTGAATGTTTTCTAGAACCAAAGACCCCAGCTACCTGGGTAAAGACTCATTAAAAACTTCTGAGAAAACTAGAAAGCAGTCTAGTAGAAATTAGATTCCACACCAACACCATATATCATAATATATTCATGTCTTATATCATATATGTCAAGATAAACTCCATATGAATATATGGTTTAGATATAAAAGTTTACATTCTAAATAAATTAGAGGAACAAGTTAGAAATTCACTTTCAGATTTAGAAATGGGAGAAATACTCTTGACTAAATAAAGAATAGAGAAGAACACTGAAGATAAAATGGACAATTTTGATGATATGAAACTAAAAAATTTTCATATAAAACCAATAACACTAAAGTTAGAAGTTAATTGGGGGAAAATCCTTCTAGCAAGTTTCTCAAGTATAGCTCTAATTTCATAAACATATGCATATACTTTAATATATGTACACATTTTCAAGTTTATAAGAGTAAGAGCCATTCCTCCAACTGATTTGGTCAAGATATTTCCTATTAAATCCATCCATCCTACAAATTTTCCTATTCTTCATGAAGGGACTTTCCAGTCAACTACATTTGTAACCTGTGTCATCCTTGAATCTTTTTTCTTCCCTTCCTGACATTTCCAATAAATTGTCAATGTTTCTCAATTCAACTTTCAATCACTTCTCTTTACCCACATAGTCATTACGCTACTATAAGACTTCATCACTTCTAGCTTGCGCTATTTTTTGACTTCTTAATTGGTCTTCTTACTTGCAGGCTCTATACCTTTCCAATCCAGTCTGGATATCAATTCCATTTTTCAAAATTGCAGATGTGATAAAAAACAAATAAGATGACTTTCCATACACAAAGCAGAAAAGGAAAAAAAAAGATTGAACATGAAAGTCTTAATTTATATTATAGACAGCAATTTTTTTCTATTATCATATAATAACAAATTTAATATGTTATTTTCAAAGCTGCCCAATTTGTTTCCTACTGATGTTCCTTCTCTTCTCATCTTTGGCATTTTAAAAAATGCTTCACTGACCCTCTTTTTTCTGCCCCCCCACCCTTCTCTCTCTCTCTCCATTTTAGTAATATTATTGGTAGCCTCCTATATTACCCTCCAACCCCTTCCACTAAAAGAATGAAAACAAAACTCCTGTATCAAATATACACAGTCAAGCAAAAACAAATCCATACATTGGCTATGTCCAAAAATGCATGCTTTATGTTGGGCTTTGAGTTCATTATCTCTATGTCAGGAGGTAAGTACATATTTCATCACAAATACTGAAGAATTATGGTTAGTAAACACATTGATCAGAGGTCTTAATTCTTTTCTCAGATGTTTTTCCTTAAATTATTATTATTATATAAATTGTTTTCTAGGTTCTGCTCACTTTACCCTATATCAAATCATATAAGTCTTTCCCAACTTTGTGTGAAACTGTCCCATTTGTCATTTTTTATATTCATGTATCATAACTTGTTCAGTCATTCCCCAATTGATGAGTTCACTCAGTTTATAATTCATTGCTACTATAAAAAGAGCTGCTACAGGTATTTTTTCTGCATATGACTCCTTTTTCTCTTGCTTTCATCTATGGCACACGTAGGTGCAGTGTATAAGAGGCCTACGCCTAAAGTCAGAAAGACCTAAGTTTAAATCTAGCCTTAGACACTGACTAGCTACATGACCCTACGCAAGTAACTTAACCTTTTTTTGCCTCAGTTTCCTCTGCTGCAAAATGGGAATAATAATAGCATCTACCTCATAAAAATACTTGGCACAGTGCCTGGCACATAATAGGTGCTATATGAATGCTCATTCCCTTCCCTTTCCCCTCCCCTCTTTGATTTCTTTAAGAACAGAGAACTAGTAGTGATATTACTATGGAAAAGTCACACTCAGTCTAGTGACTTCTCTGGTATGATATCAAAGTGCTTTCTAGAATGCCACACCAATTCAAAGTTCTACCAACAGTATATTAGTGTGCCTTTTTTCCCACAGTCCCCATACAAGAATTATCATACTTTCCTGGTCACATTTGCCACTTGGATTTGGAAAAGAAAATTGAAACTAAGAGTTGTTTAATTTGAATTTCTCTAATTATAAGGGGTTTGGAGCATTTTTTTTCCAATATGGGTGTGGAAAGCTTGAATTTCTTCATTTGAAAACTGCTTGATGATTTATGTATTAGTGAGTGGCTTTTTCAGAGATGTTTGAATCAGCTCAATATATTTATATCTACAGACATACATGCAGACACACACACACACACACACACACACACACACACACACACACATATATATCAGAATTTTATCAGAGAAACTTGCTGAGATTTTTTCCAATAATCTGTTTACCTTCTCATTTTAACTAAGTTAATTTTGTCTGTATAAAACTTCCTAATTTTATAAAGTCAAATTTGTCCATTTTGTCATCTGTGATCTCTGTCTTACTTGGCCATAAACTTTTCCCTGTCAATAGTTGTGACAGGTATATCCTTCTTTGCTCCTTTAATTAATAATACATTTAAATCATGTATCCATTTGAAGCTAATGTTGGCCTATGGAATAAATTACTGGTCTAAACTTAATTTCTGCCAAATTGCTTTCCAATTTTTCCAGCAATTTTTGTGTAATGTTGAATCTTTGACTTAGTACTTCTGGGGGGAGGGTGATGTCTTTGGGATTCCTCAACACTACACACTGAGTTCATGTACTTCTGTATGTTCTGTAGCTAATCTATTCTACTGACTTACTTTTCTCTTTTTACCAAATATCTCTGATAATTATTGCTTTGTAATACTCTGAGATCTGATACTGCTAGGTCTCTTCCTCTTCAATTTTTGCTCATGATTTCCCTTGATTTTTGAGTTTTTATTACTAATTTTTTAGCATCATAATTTGACATTTTGTTAATATGGTTTGGCAATAATAAATAAATTAAGATAGGGAGTCTTGTCATTTTTATTATATTGGTCAGATCCAATAATGGGCAATTAATATATCTCCAGTTATTCAGGTCTATATTTCTGTAAAGAGTGTTTTAGGGTTCTATTTATGTAGTTTCTATATACACCTTGGAAGAAGGACTCCCAATTAGTTTATATATTCATAATTATTTTGAATAGAATTTCTATAGATCCTTCAACAGTGTTTTGTTGGTATTATACAGAAAAGCTAAGGATTTTTGAGGGTACGTTTTATATACTAACTCTTTGCTAAAATTATGGTTTCAATTAAGTTTTGACTTGATTCACTAGGGTTTTTCTAAGTTCACCATCCAATCATTTGAAAGCAAAAATTATTTCATCTTTACTTATGCTTATTACCTCAATTCTTTCTTATCTTATTGCTATAGCTTGTATTTCTAGAACTGTATAAAACAACAGGGGTGACAATGGACAACTTGGAATGGTTCCAATTTATTCTCATTAAATATTATACAAGTGCTATTTATCATATTAAGGAAAAATATATTTATTTCTATAATTTTTACTATTTTTAACAAAATAAGTATTGCAATTCATCAAAGGTTTTTTCTTGCATATATGGATATAATCTTGTGATTTTGACTGTTCTATTAACATGATCTGTTATGCTTATTGTTTTATAATGGTGCATTATTAGCTCAAGATCAACCTCATCATAGAGCATAATCTTTTTGATAGGTTGATGCAGTCTCTATGCTAATATATTTTTTAGAAAATATTGTATAAACATTAATTTATTAGGGATATTGGTCTATATTTTTGCTTCTCTGTTTTGACTTTCTCCTTGGTTTGTATATCCTGACCACATATGTATGGTAAAAGGAATTTGGTGGTATCCTTTCCCAATTTTGAAAATAATTTGTGTAATAGAAAT